GCCATTATCAGCGATATTAAAACAATAAAAGGCTTGCGATATTTCAGTTGATTTGTAATGAATCCAGAATGTTGGACATTTCATGATTTTTAATTGCATTACAGAAAATAAAGAACTTTATCACCATATTCAAATTTTCTGAGACAGTCCTGTATATATGTATATGCCGCTGTTTTATTTATGGAGCCAGCAACAAAAATAATTTCCCTCTGGGATTATTAAAGTATTTCTGATTCTGATTCTGATTTTCTGAGTCATGGAGTTTTATAGCTATGGAATGATTATGGAGAAAAATGATGGTACCCGACATAATCATTTAAACGGCCAGCGGTCATAAATTATGAATAATCTTAGCTCCCCAGTTAGACACAGAGAGGAATGGCTTTGTTGAATTCTATTTTTGTGTACTGACTTTCTTTCTTATGTCTCTTCCATGTGGAAACAGATTCATTGTCGTACAAAGGGGGAATTCAGCAGCCAAACTGCTCACAATGTGCATGTATTTTAAAAATAATGGACAATTTACAGGACATAAAAGTCAATGTGGGATCTAAGCTCTCCTGTTAGGAGCAAAGCAGACCATTTTATTCACTGATAATTTTATATTAGCATGATTAATTCATCATTAATCATTGTTGGATTCTGAGATTCACTGGAAAAATTTGCCATTAGTGAACTTTGACTCTCATCCTGTAGGTTAGGATTCAGTTCCAATCAGGTTAGAAAGCAAAACGAACAAAACAAAATAAACAAAATAACTAATTTATTGATAGGAAAACAGCTAAATGTTCCTTTAATCACTCGTTTACAGTTAAGTCTGACCGTCCACTTCCTTCTGTTCCTTCTCTTGCTTACCCCATCACTCCACAGAAATGGGACATTTTTCTCGGAAAGGTTCCAAACTGCCATGAAACACAGACTGTGCCTGATGGCTTTAACTCCCACTGATGCCAAAGGCGTCGTCCATCACGAGTTCTGTTTGGCTGGACCGTCCAGGCCCAGTGAAATGTGCTGGACACAGCAGCACAGCGGCTAATGCTAATGCTAACGCTAAGACAAACACTGTCCTGCACAGTGAGAGCAGGAAAACAGCATCCTCACATGTCCACACACACATTGTTCTCCGTGTGGTCATCATGTCTGCCCATACTGGAGCCAATCAGCAGACAGAAAGGACCAATCGGGTACAAATCGTGGTTCCAGCCCCCATCCGGTAGCTTTGGTGCCCAAAAAAAACCTGAAGTTGCTCTAGTGAAAGCCACAGCCACCAAAACGACAAAAGAAGTTGTTCGGCCTGTAAGAAATGTTGAGCACGCTCATGGTGCTAAAGCCTCTGACTCTCTTTTCCAAATGGGTCATGAAACATCCAGTTTTTAGAGAGTACATTAATTCGGGACACGATAACGAACGTGAAAAAGATTCAATTAAATTCAATTTAATTTTATTTATATAGCGCCACATCACAACAACAGTTGTCTCACAGCGCTTTCCAAACAGAGCAGGTCAGACCCTACTCTGAAGTTAACTACAGAAACCCAACAATTCCCACCATGAGCAAGCACTAGGCGACACAGGCAAGGAACAACTTCCTTTTAACCGGCAGAAACCTGGAGCAGAACCATGGCTCAAAGTGGCACAAGATGCCGAGTGTTATCTCCCTGTGCTTTATTTCCACAGCCAAGTTCAAGGAGATCTGTCCCGGTGGAATGGGCTACACCGTTTTACCGAACCCCCCCGTGAAGAGACCCATGCCGGTCTTCCAGGAGCCGGTGGACCTGATCCCTCCACACCCGCTGCCCACTCCAGAGAGACCGGTGGAGGCCTTCGGGAAGCCAGAGGAGATCATACCAGGTCTGTTCTACGTTCGGGTCTCACCTCAGTCTGCTTCTGATGGATTTTATGAACGTTTAACGAGGCAGGGACAGAGACCAATGAAGGTTGAACTGGAACTAACCGGATGTGCCTGTTGTTGCTGTTTCCCTAAACAAATGCCATAAGTAATGCCATCAACAGATAGATAGATAGATAGATAGATAGATAGATAGATAGATAGATAGATAGA